AATTAGGTTATATGGCCCATCTTATTTATAATAGCCAAAACAAGATAACTTTAAAATGACCTAAAAATCTAATAGGGTACCTAAATAGGGAGTAATATATCCCTGTCATGGGATAATATTTAGCTATTCCTGTCGGGGGGTGGGGGGATATGTGGGCTAGAATACTTTAAGTGGGCTATAAAATCCTTCATGTTATTAAAATTAAGTAAAATCAGGAATTTATAAAAACAGAAGGAAATACTTTTAAATCACAATAGTTATTTTTTAAAGATTGTATTTATTTACTTGACAGAGAGAGAGAGATCACAAGTATGCAGAGAGGCAGGCAGAGACAGGGGGAAGCAGGCTTCCCGCTGAGCAGAGAGCCCGATGCCATGCGGGGCTCTATCCCAAGACCCTGAGATCACGACCCAAGACCCTGAGATCACGACCCAAGACCCTGAGATCACGACCCGAGCTGAAGGCAGAGGCTTAACCCACTGAGCCACCCAGGCGCCCCCATGATAGTTATTTTAGAGAGATGTACATAGTTTGAGTTTTCTCCATTATTTAGTTTTCCAAATTTCCTATAATACCTTTTAAAATTTAAAAAAAAAAGAAAAAGCTTCATAGGGATGCCTGGCTGGCTCAGTCAGTTAAGCATCTGCCTTCAGCTTCAGTCATGATTGCAGGGTCCTGGGATCAAGTCCCAAAATGGGCTCCCTGTGAGGTGGGGAGCCTGCTCCTCCCTCTGCCTCCTGTTCTCCCTGCTTGTGCTCTCTCTTTCTGACAAACAAACAAATAAAATCTTTAAAAAATATATGCTTCATAATGCATTAGAATGTTAATCATTACAGTTTTCCAGTCTGGTCCGCCTTCTTTTTTTTTTTTTTTTTAAGATTTTATTTATTTCTTTGACAGAGATCATAAGTAGCAGAGAGGCAGAGAGAGAGGAAGGGAGGCAGGCTTCCCTGATGAGCAGAGAGCCCGATGCGGGGCTCAATCCCAGGACCCTGGAACCATTACCCCAGCCGAAGGCAGAGGCTTTAACTCACTGAGCCACCCAGGCGCCCCCGCCTTACTTTCTTTTATGTATGAGGATATTGACACACAGAAATGCTACAGGGCATGGCCAAAGTCCCGTGCCTTGGCTAAAGGTAGCTGGACGGTTAATAATCTATGCTCTCACTCCCAGTGAGGGCTCTTGACCACTTCCTCAGACTGCTTTGAAGATGGCAGCAGTGTGTCTTGCAACGTGACACCTGGCCTTTATTTTTGGTGTTTAACATAATCTGTACTTTGTTTCAGAATTCAGGCTTGTTCTTAGTTGCTTCTTTTAAAATTTGAATCTTTGGCAAAGGAGCTTATTGACTAGACTTACTTTTCTCTGGATCCCATAATTCTGGATATGTCACTGATCTCGTTATATATTGAAGAAGGAAAGAAGAGATGTGGGGAATACAAAGCAAGACACATCCTCAAATTAAAACTCTGGACTTTGGAACGTTACTGTCCAGTATGCTCATTTCCTCTGTGCCCTGCCACCAACCGTTTCTCAGCACGCCGTCCAGGAATCTGGCAGACTGTTGTTGAATTAATGTCCCAGAATCCCACAGATGACTCATTTTTAGGAAAGGTTAATGTAGTTCTGAATAGTTTTCTGCTTTAAGTTGATTATTTTTTGATTAGGTAAGCAGGGTGATAAGACTTACTAGGACCCTACATATATATATACATATATGGAACTTAGACCTCTCACAAGGTGTAGTATTTGCTATGTCCTTATTCTTTCACTCTGGGCCTCATCTATGACAACAAAGTTAACTTGCATATCTCTTGAGGCACATGCTGTGATTTGCTTAATTTTGTGCTTCTAATGGTGATAATGGGGTTAATTAACTTTTATTAATCAACAATGCCACCTGGTGGCCAGAAAGTACATTTTATGGTGCCCATGCTCGCCGCAGTCAACTTTTTTTTCTTTAATATAAATAACCTTAACAGCATTTGAAGCATTTTTTTATTAGTGAAGTTTTTAAAAATGCCTAGTTTGGTTTGGCAGAAGCAGGAAAGTCATGGAATACTGTTAAGTCTAACATGGCACGTCGAAATGACTACTGTGTTGTCACTGTTTCTCGGGAAACTCATCCAGGATAGTAGGTTCTAAATGGTTCAAAGTAAGAATTCCCTATGACTCACACAAGCGTGTCTGTCTACTCTCTGTTCCTGAGTTTCACCTGGGTTATAGCAGTCACTGGGGTAGCTGGTGGTTTCAGTGCTGCTCCCAGTCTGACTCAGAGGCCGATTGGTCACATTCTTCTCATTCTGCAGTTAAGGCACTGAGTGATTCTGAACCGAGGGGTCTTGTCTTCCTGGAAAACGTGGAAGTTCTCAAAACGATATCCTGCAACAGGGTGCCCTGCAAATAGGGCACCTTCTTGGTTAAAAGCATGATTCTGCAACATGTTAGTGGTGGGTTTTCCACTCAGCCAATTTTGTATTTCCACTCTGTTCCTGAAAGTTCAGGATGGCAGGCAGCAGCTGGACTTGAGCTCAGGGAACAAAAATGAAACTCGGGCTTATCGGGCTCAGCCCCATGATTCTGAGGTCAGTATTTCCTAATACGGACATCTTCCACAGAGCTCTCTTGGTTTAGAGAAATGTGTCCGTTTGCTTGGGTATACTTCTCTATTAAAGAACAAAAGTCAAAGACAAAGTAGGAACTTGACATAAATCTGATACTTAGGTAAATTTGCTTTCCTTTCCACAGTCTTCACCTGACCAGAAGCTTTAAGGAACATCACTTTTGATCAAGGAGACAGCCTAGATATGAAGAACATGTAAGAAGAGTAGGTTTTTCTCCTTAGCCCTATCACTCACATAGAAAAGTTAAATATTTGGACTCACCAAACATGGCTTATAAATGGATTGCATTTTAAGTGGGGTCAGAGTGAGATTAAGTTAATTTTTCATCTTCAGGTGAAGCGAAGTCATCTAAGTGTAAAGAGGGCATTTTGTTTATTTTTGTGGTTTTCTTATCCATGTGATTGGTAGCATACTGTCCAACTTGTGCATTCAGATTGCTTTAAGAACTGAATTGCTAATGATGGTCTCTGGCAAGATGGAACTTATTCTATGGTACACAGAAACTCCATGTCCTCATACGCATTGTCTCTCCAGGGCTTGTTGCCAGTGGTGGATATTTACAGTGTGCCTGTCTAGACTCATACAGGTTCTTGTATCACTGTCTCAAAGATGTACAGTTTCAACAGTGTGTGTGTGTGTGTGTGTGTGTGAGATCTATTGAGTTTAAATAGCTGACACTAACACCCAAGTTTTCCTTTGTGTCTTTGAGCATGACTTTATCAATCCATGCATGAAATTACACCTGTTCCATAATACTGTTGAATGGAGATTGATTCTGATAAAAATGCAGTCTCTTGCTGTGCCTTTCCTCTTTTTATTTTCTCAACTCCCACTGGCATTAGGATTGCTTTCAGCCTTTATTGCCTTTGACCTAAACACAATCCTGGTCTAAGAAAATTATTTATATTTTTATCCATTAAGCATTTCTTGTCCCATGTATGCAAAGGCCATCACTAAGTGCTAAGAATCAGATATGGGTCCTGCCCACAAGGAGCTTTGAGTCTCATGAGAAAATGATAGAAGATATAAAGTAACTACTGTGTAATCTATTTTTCAAAGGGAGAGAATATTTCTTTCAAATGGAAAGTTTGATAAGAGGGAAGGAATTTGAGATGAAACTTGAAATACAGGAGTAGAATTTTTATATGCAGAGACAGAAAAGGATTCAGTAGAAGGGAACATTAGAGACAAAGACAAAAAGTATGGAGCCAGGGACCACATGGGAAGCATCTAAGGCATTATGCGGAATCAGACTTTGGTCAGAACAAAGCGCCTGTGTTAGGTAGTAGAGAAAAAAAAAAATCAGAAAAGTGAGTAGGGATCATGTAGTTGGGGGGGGGGATTTAAATTCTAGGTAACAGATTCTGTTTGGGGGGTTTTTGTGTGTGTGGTTTTTGTTTTTGGGGATTTTTTTTTTTTTTTTTTTTTTTTTTTTTTTTTTTTTCCAGAATTTGTTTTGAGAGGCAATGGGAAGCCATCCAACATTTCTCAACAGAGAACGAAATACCTTGAGATTCCTTGGCATTCCCTCGGTATTAAAGACTTATGAAATATAACCCAGTGCATTAATTTTTTTCTCTATTACAAGAATGACTGTATACCATGTAGCTTACTTAAAGACCTTCTTACTTGAAGACCTTCTTCATCTAGACCAGAGTTTCTCAACTGCAGCCCTATTGACATTCTAGGTCAGATAATTCTTTGTTGTAGGCTGTCCTATGCGTTTGTAGGTTATTTAGCAACATTCCTGGCCTGTAACCACTAGATGATAGCAGCACCCCCTTTCTCCCAGTTGTGATAATCAGAAATGTCTCCAGACATTTCCAGATGTCCCCTGGTGGGCAAATTCACCCCCATTTGAGAACCACTGCTCTAGAATTATGTATTGTATTCCTCCGCAATTCTCTGATTGTTAGACTCCTAGACTGACAAATCCCTTAGGCACTCGGTCTACTGATGCTTAGAATTTTGTACTGGACATACTTCCGATTTGAAATTAAGGCATTTCCTCTGTGTTGGACTAAAAGCACTGAACTGGGCATCAGGAGACCTGGATCTCTAGTCCTGGATCTCTAGTCTCTAGCTCTTGCCACAAAGAGGTTGTGGCTCTGCTGAGACCCTATGCTCAGTAACCCTATTCCTCTTGAAAATGACCAATGTGACCCCTGCAGTTCTTTCTACCTCTTGAGCCTGTGTCCTGATTTCAAATGCATGTCAGGGCTTTATTCTTTCACATTTTTAGAAAGTTAGCACACATTAAACTAACACATATATTAATCAACAAGACTGATTGAAGTATTGAGTAAGAAAGATGAAGTGATTTTTTTCCTTAGTGCTTGATTTTACTAAATATCATATTCCTTTCCCTCTTACAGATTATTTGAAAAATCTTCTAGAGGACTCTGGAGATTACAGAGACACTCAAGGTAAATAACTTTCATGTATTAATTTGTTGCAGAAATTCTTTTATTACAGTTGGCTGGAGGACCCAGCATTGTCTGGAGTGAGGAGGGTTCTTGCTATGCTCAGTCACTCTGTGCCAGTGGTAAATTCACCTTCTCTAGATGTCTGTTGCTTTGAAAAGCAGGGACTGAACCAGTTGATCTGCAAGGTCATTTCAGGCTTAAAAATCATGAGTCTGTGAAGTGGTCAAACTACACAAATCAGGGATACAGTCTAAAATATCATATTCTGGGACTGTTTAATGCTGGACAATTGCCTTACCACCTTCTACCCCTTAGCACTTAAAGCAGCACTTAAAGGAAAACTTCATTATAATACAAGGGACTCACTGACATTCACAAGTTAATCCACTGTGTATGTGTGTGTCTTTCTCTTACATATACATACACGCATATACACAGATTAATTCTGTTCAAGATATCTGTGTTTCTTTCTATTTATCTCCAAAGTACCTCTTTCAAATGCTATAGGTATATCCCTGGCTGGCTCTAATTTGAAGTCCATGTCCACCCCATTAATTTTTTGAATTTTGGTCACACTTCTTGTGCATACTTTTTATTTTCAGATTACAAAACAGAACAGGTGTTTTACCCATTTTGTAAAGATTCTTATTTGCTCTCTTAATCATTTTAGTTTTACTTCTCTAACATCTTCTATTTGCAAGTGTTTCACCTTTCTTTCTTTTTTTTTTTTTTTAAGAGACAGCATGAGTTGGGGGAGGAGCAGAGGGAGAGGGACAAGCAGACTCTGTGCTGAGAACAGAGCCCAAGTCGGGGCTCAATCCCATGAGCCTGAGATCGTAACTGACCCAAAACCAAGAGTCAGTTCACAAAGTAATGCATGTCAAGCCTAGTAGGCTTCTTTGTGGCATTTCTCCCCTCTTGGGATTAAACTAAGAGAAGGAAGGTAAGCCATGACCCTCTAAATCATCAGTTTTCATAGTTCTGGTTTCCTATCCCAGGGTACTTCTCTCCCAAGGCAGTTCATACTGGAATGGTCCTTAACTTCTAGGTGAAGTCCTCTCCTTATCCTTGTAAACTTCAACAGGATAATCAAAGCTCAGCACAAAGCAAGCCTGACATTCATACTGTTGATACATAACGTCTATAACATCTCCTTTAGAGTCTTTCTCGGACTCATTTTTTTTCCATGAGTCCTGTTTTTCCTTGCTGTTGTCCTCATCAGACCTCATTGTCCGTATTTCTACCTACTCAGAGTTAACCTTGCTCCTCCCGTGGCACTTCTCACTGTTACAAATTCGCCATCTTGCCATCTGGAATTGCTTAATGTTGTAGCCCACTGGACTAACCTGATGTTTCTACACATTTTAGATGCCCTTGCTGTCGTTATAGAAGTCGCCAACCACGCCAATGACACCATGAAGCAAGGAGTAAGTATCTTGATTTCAGTGGCTGGCAGACTGTTGAACCTGGAGGCCCAGGCCTTCATGTGCTACACATTCTCTTTCTGTAGGACAATTTTCAGAAGCTTATGCAGATTCAGTACAGCCTAAATGGACACCATGAAATAGTGCAGCCCGGACGGGTAAGTGATTTTAGACTGCCTTTTGCAAATGTAATGTGATGCACTTAGACACCTTTTGTAGCTATTTTGCATTTCAGTTATGAAAATAGGTTATTGTTGTTACTCTCCACTGTCTCGATCTGGATCAACTACGTTCATTCTATCCATTCAAAACATTCATGACTTAAGTCACTGTGACAAAAAGTACAATTCAATTAGGAGAATGGCAAGGGACCCCACAGAGTATCTGATTAAATAGAATCATTTTATTGTGTAATACTAACTGACCTCACACAGCTTTAAAGACAACTTCAGTTAAGATCTTGAGTGTAAGAGGGGATTATGAGGGGAGGGAGAAAACTGTATTTTGGTGCTCCTCATAGAGCACAAAAGTGGCCTAGGGAATGAGTTCAGCAAAATTACAAAATGCAATTGTCAGGACATTGGCTATACCTCAGGATCAAGGACATGCTCAGTCAGTTACATTTCAGACCACATAGTACCCCCGGGACTGGATTTATGAATACTGGATTTATGAAACTCTGCCGGCTTGTCCAACTCCTTCAAAGGTTTAAGAAGAAACCATGACTGTAAAAAGTCACATGGAAATTATGTCCACCCAGCCCTACCTCCAAAAAAAATTCTGGGGAAAGAAAGTTGAAAAACAAATTATATGCACATTGTAGTTGTGTTATGGTGGGACTAAATGGGCATTTGTTTGGATGAATCAGGTTTTTCTCAAAGAGGGAACTCTGATGAAGCTGTCTCGGAAAGTCATGCAGCCCCGAGTGTTTTTCCTGGTAAGTGACTGTGTGTGTTTCTGAGCCAGAAGAGGGGATAATTGCCTAATGGAAGGAGACATTTGTGTATGACAGATGAGCTTAACACGTTCGGAGAGATTTAGTGGGATCTGTGGCTGACTGTCTTGCTTACTTGCATTTCAAGTAACGGGAACAAAGTCTTTTATGATGTAGAACCAGAAAATATTTCCTTTTTGAATTCAATTTATGTCACTTCTCACTTAGAAAAGTTGATTCAATCATTTATTTAGTCAGATTGTAATACTTTAGTGGGATTTAGAATTCAGAAAACATATCTGTTACAGAACTTGGAAGGAAAGCACATGTTCTAGAAATTGCCTTTTTAATCTAATAAAGCATTCTGGGTGGTCATAGTTTATATAAGCAGACATAAGTGTTTTTATTCAGAGAACTTTTAATAAGAAAGGAATATTTTTCTTTTATTTTGGTGTCTTATCAGTGTCTTGGTAGCTGACATTTTTGCTTTACTTCATTCTATGAAATATTTCTTTCAGTTTAATGATGCCCTGCTGTATACAACACCAGTGCAGTCTGGGATGTATAAACTGAACAATATGCTCTCATTGGCTGGAATGAAGGTCTGTGCGTCTGTTAGAAGATATTTCTTTTCTTAACCCAAATATATTTAGAGACAAAGCCCAAAGATAACCGTCTTTCTTACATACTTGACTTTTCTCTCTCCCTGTGTGTTATTGTTTATGTGTTTATTTATTCATTCATTAATCATTTGTTCACTCATACATTCATTTATTCATGAGGTGTTATTGAGAACTATAAACAAAATATGGTAAGACATTTGGTAAAAAATACAAAAATGAGTTGAATCATGATTGTTTTTGTCTCTGCCCCCGCCATACCCCCCCCAGAAGCTCAGCAACTAGAGTTGGGAAGATAATAAACCACACATAAATACCTATAAAATAGACACTAATAAATATCACTGTGAAGGTACAATTAATGTTTTGGGGAGTCCTGGGGCACCTGGGTGGCTCAGTCGGTTAAGCATCCGACTCTTAGTTTCAGCTCAGGTCATGCATGGTCTCAGGGTGGTGACATTGAGCCCAGAGTCAGTCTCCACGTTCAGTGTGGAGTCTGCTTGAGATTCTCTCTCCCTCTCTGCCCTTACCACCCCTCCTCAAATAAAGAAATAAATAAGATCTTTTTAGAAAGAAAAATTAGGGGGAGCTCAGAAAATAAGGAGTGTGCAGCTTTCAGTAGGACCTGGTGGAGGAATCGGTAGCAGCTAGGAAACAGGGAGAATTGAGGAAGTCTTTGGAGGAAGAGCCACAAGCCTTAAAGCATAGGTCACATTTGGCCACACTGAGATGCAGGGAAGGCGCCTTGTTCCAGGTAGAGGGAGAGAGCAATGGGCTGAAGGTGGGAAATTTTGGCATATATATATATATATATATAGGCATTTAACTCTGGCACACAGAGCAGATGAAGGAGAGTCATGGTAGATACAGTTGAGTCTGAAGGTTGGTGGTGGCTGACAGCAGCCAGGGCATTGAGCAGCTTCAGGGATGAGATTTGCAATAGGCTGAATTTGCTCAAACTGTTTTTCTTTCTTTAAGGTCAGAAAACCCACCCAAGAAGCATATCAGAATGAACTAAAGATTGAAAGTGTAGAACGCTCCTTTATCCTCTCAGCCAGGTAAATTTCTAAAATCTGTATATGTGAACATTTGCCAGGATTACGGGGTCATACATCTCCAGCACTTCCTACATTTGGGTAAACTGCTAGACCTACTTTTTTTTTTCTCCTTCTTTTCAGTCCCCAAACCGTGGAGTTTATTCTTGTTTACCATGTAGGTAAAATGTCTAATTGCTGATCCAATAATGTGTTTGAAGCGCAGAAATAAAAATATTCCTGTGAAGAGAATAATAATGCTGAAAAGTGCCTTGCTGATCTTTTCTTTTTTTTTTTTTAGTGAATACTTCAAACCTTTTACAATGGCACCCAATGTTTTTAAAGACACCTAGTGCTTTATAATTCACTAGGAAGTTTTCACGTAACATTGAAAGGTCATAACAAACCTACGAGGTAGGTGTCCTCTCATTAAAAATGAGGAAGACTAAGTTAGAGAAAAAGTACATTTCTGTCTTCATGGTACATAGCTGGCAAAATCAGGATACAAAAAGAAACTTTTTACTTTTAAATCTGTTGTTATTTATGATACCACGTTGCCTCAAAATGGAACCTGCAGTGACTTATGTGTAAATCAAAATATATTACAGTTATATAAAGGAAGTGCCAAGGAAACCAGAAGCTGTATGACTCATGCATGTACATTACCGAGTTACTGGCCACATGGCCAAAGTGAATGTTTGGCAGTACTTGGCTGGAGAGACACCAGCAGCCACAGCATGTTCCACTGCTGGATCGGGATAGCAAGTCTAGGCAGCTCTCAAATCTAACCTTTAATATAAAAATAGTAGCAAACACTTACGTAGCATTTACTTTGTGCCAGGCACTATCCAAAGCACTTTCTCTGTGTTCATTCATTAAATCTTCATAAAAACCTAATAAGGTGAGTTTACTAATTTTATACCCATTTAATGGGTAAAAAAAAGCCACCCAGCTATTAAGTGTCAGGGCCAGGATTTGAACCCAGGCAGCCTGCTTCCAGCTGTGTCCGTACCAGTAAAATCAACTAGAATTTTTAGTAGCAGCTGGAGTCCCAACCGGACCCATTTATTACCTGGGATCAGGCCCAATGCTGATATATGCTTATAATTCATTTTCTCTTTTAATTTCCATGATAACTAGGAGAGTAGGTGTTGTCTTGATCTTCCAGATGAGAAAAAAATACAGGCTCAGGGAAGTTAAATAACACTTCCAAGATTATACAACTAATAGAAAATGGAGCTCAAATTTTTTTTTAAAGATTTTATTTATTTATTTGATGGACAGAGATCGCAAGTAGGCAGAGAGGCAGGTAGAGAGAGGGGGGAAGCAGGCTGCCTGCTGAGCAGAGAGCCCGATGTGGGGGCTCTATCCCAGGACTCGGGATCATGACCTAAGCTGAAGGCAGAAGCTTTAACCCACTGAGCCACCCAGGTGCCCCTGGAGCTCAAATTTTAACCGAGGTATATCTGATGGTGAAAGTGATGCTTTCAGCCATTATAATATTGCCTATGTCCATGGATGTCAAGGACTCAGATCTAAGTGTCTGGCTTCCCATAATCAGGACAAGAGCAGCCCCCTGGGTCATTGTCACTCTTCTGAAATGGAATAGCCACTGCTGCCTAACACCAGATCTTGGGAAGAGAAGACAAATAGGGTTTGTTTGAGGTTTGTCGAAAGCCATCTACCTGCCAAAGCAAGCAGTTTCTGGGGGATACCTGAAGCATCCTACAGATTAATATTTGGAGAGTATGGTAAACTCTGGGTCACCTGGAACTAAGACCCTTTTTTTTTAGTTTGAACAGAAGTACAAGGAGCATCAAGTCTATGTGCATCAGTCTCCTGGCAGATACTTAAGCTTGATTCTTAATATCAAGAAAGTAATTTTTGGGTGCCTGGGTGGCTCAGTTGGTTAGGCATTTGCAATCCCAGGGTCCTGGGATCGAGCTCCACATCGGGCTCCCTGCTCAGAGTGGGGCCTGCTTCTCCCTCTCTTGCTCTTCCTGCTTGTGCTCTCTCTCTCTGTCCAATAAATAAAATCTAAAAAAATTTTAGAAAATAAAAAAAAGGAAAGAAAGGAAGTGATTTTCAAATATCCAGAGAGAAAGTATCTATAGGAAAGTCAGGTTTTCAGTTGCACTTAAATATCCTAAGTAAAAATATGCTTTGGTAAAACAAAATTCCATTTTATTAACAATTAAATAATTGAGGAAATGATGGTAAATCCTTATTTCTTTGGTTGCCATCCAGGTAAATATGTGGATGTCCAGATCAGCCTCTTAGACCTTAGTAAAGTCATTGGAATTTTATATGTGATGGGAAGACATCTGAGGGTCTTAAGCTAAAAATTGGTATGATCTTAGGTATATTTTTAGAAGAGGACACTGGTTTCTTTATAGAAGATAGACCATCAGAGATTAGAGTCGAAGTCGGGAGACCAGGTAGGAGGCTAGATGATTCTCTCTTGGACTAGAATGGTGAGAAATGGTTGGAATCAGGGAGAGTTAATAGGATTGTTGATGGATTGAACTTGGGTTATGCAGAAAAAACAAGAAAACTGGAAAGCTCTCGATAAAGGGAGGGGAAGCTGACACATATTGAATACCTCTAGTGTACCATGCTCTTCTGAGCGCCCCCCCGCTCCTGCCACAGGGAACGGGTACGGTATAACATGTAGGAAGGAGATGAGAAGGCCTTCTGTGATCTGGGTCCTGTATGCCTCACCAGTCTGATCTCTGTCCATTCTCCCCGTCCGCACCCCCACCAGAGCATGGCATATTCCGCCAGCATGGATCTGCTTGTTCTCCATGCACGCCAGCCTACCTCCCTTCCTTCTGCCTTTTGCATAGGCAGCTGCCTGTGCCTGGAATTCATCCCTTCGTTCAGTAATATGGAGCGTCTACTGTAGACCAGACATTGTGCCAGGCATCAGGATAATGTGGAGAATTAAAAGGGCCCTTCCTTCCCTTACCTTGCATTCTGTTAGGGAAGACATATGCTTAGCAAAATGTCAACACAATCAACTATTATTGTGATTAAGTAGTACACAGGAAAACTACCAGGTGCTATGAGGCTGTAGAACGAGGAACCTTGAACTAACTTTGGTGGACAAAGGGCAGTCAGGGAGAGCTTCCTGCAAGACCTGCTGTGTCAGCTGAGTTATAAAAGATAAGCAGGAGTTGTATAGCAAGGCAAAGAGGAAAGAGAAAGGCTGCTGGTCGTTGGGAATAATGTGTACAAAGTCCCTGAGGTGGAGAGGGCATAGCAAATCCAAAGAACTGAAAGACCAGAATGGCATGAATATAGAGAAGAAAAGGGAAAGCCAAGGTAAGCCTGGAGGGACAGGGGAAAGCTGAGGCAGAACTTGTGGATTTGGGGCTTGAGCCAAAGAGCCACAGGAAACCACTGAAAGGCTTGTACAAGGGAATGACATGATCTGATTGGCCTTTGTAAAAGTTGGATGCTAGGTGGAAAATGGTTTGGGAGGGGAAGTAAAGGAGATGATTAATCGGACACGGGGTTGAGACCCAGAGGCATTAAAAGCAAGTCTCTGACTGGTACACTGTGCCAGGTAGCGCCGGGCCATTCCCTGTGATAGGAAACGCCAGGAGAGGAGCAGCGTTGGGGGAAGAATCAGGAATTTAGTTTCAGATGTGCATATCAAATATGAGGTGCCTATCAATCATGGAGCCATCAGGGCGCCTGGGTGGCTCAGTCGGTTGAGCATCCAGCTCTTGATTTCAGCTCAGGTCTTGATCTCAGGGTCTGAGTTCAAGCCCCAAGTTGGGCTCCAGGATGGGCATGAAGCCAACTTTAAAAAAAAAAAAAAAAAAAAAAAAAAAATGGAGCCATCAGTGAGACAGTGCCTGTAAGGATCTTGATGTCTGCAGGGAGCCCTGACATGGCATATATTTGGGAGTCATCAGCTTAGAGAAGATAACCAAAGCTGGGAGGCCAAACGCGGGTGCACGGAGACACTACAAGGTTCTCTGTCGAACTCCTCAGTTCTTCCAATCCTAACATACTCATTCCCTCTGCAGAGCTTTCCCTGCTGCCTAAATAACATAATTTACTACTTCTTTGTTTCTCATCTACCTTACCTTTATTGTATCATGCAGTAGTTACTTGCTTTTGTGTCTCACCTCAATTAGAGATGAGCCCTTACAAGTGGTGTGTTTTGTATGTGCGGTTCATGGCTTAGTATCTTGCCCTCAGAACTCTCTCACTAAATGTAACTCAGATGAATTGAAATGAAGTGGTGTGGCCTTTAGACCTCAGAATAGCGTTCCACAGTTATACAAGGAGTAAATTGTGTGGCAACATCTAACATGCCAGCAATCCCTGCTACTGGAGGTCTTTTGGAATGCATCCCAATCAATGGGAGAATGGGGCTTATATAATACAAATTTGCTTTCTGGGTAATGAACACATTCCATAAAGAAAAGAATACTGGTTTAACTGTATTTTAAGTGGGTTTAACTGAAGAAGGTGCTGATTCTTCTGCTAACTGTACTACAAAAGAAGACTTAGCATGTCTCCACTCAATAGTGCAGGCAAATGTGTGTGGTCTGTGAGAAATGTGTTATCAAGAGCTGGTAAACATTGTTTTGGCAGATCCCCACACAAGAGAGAGCCAGGAATGATTAAATGAAAGAACAGCATATGTGACATGATTTGCACAGTCAAATCACATTCCACATGCTCCCAGGGCTCTAGAAAAATCAGACGGCAATTCTCAAATTAACCATCTGCCTCTCTACTTTTTTTTAACTCTTCCACCAAAAAGTAGAGGAAGGGGAGAGAGAGGGAGGGACAGTATTATTTTACGAATGTTTACTTGGAAGCTTAAGCCTATATTCTCATAGCATAGTTCAGAGAATGGAGATGAATGACACGGTGGTGAAGGGTTCAATCTTTAGCCACACTTGTGCCTGATACAAGGTCATGTAGCCTGTTGTTTAAAACAAATTGTCCAACATTTCAGATCCTCAGCTTGCTTATCTGTAAATGGTGCTGGTTGGTGATAGTGATGGTATTGGGGAAAGAGGGTATAAGATCCAATATGTATTCTATGGGGTAGCTCTGAGGATGAGATGTGATGACATTTGCTCTTGATTTCAATTTGCAACGCATTTAGCACAGTTGGCTGACATGTAGTAACTATTGAATAAATGGCAGCTAGTTGGGACAGTAATGGTAGAGTCGTAGAGGAAATTGAGGCAGGTTTTATTTGGCTTAGAAAAATAAGAGCTGTCCTATTTTATTCTTGGTATATAATGAAAATTTGAGAAACATACTAGTTTTAAAATTGTATTTGTAAAGTGGATTTCTACTTTTTAATATCCATGTGGGTGCATATTCTAATTGGCACTTAAGCCATTTAGCAGGACCGTAAATTTCTGACTATAATTATTGTGGAGAAGGCAGGTGGTTTTTTAGTATCTCCTGACCTGCTCTGCATTCATCAAAATACAAGGAAATGTGCCTGTTCGTACCATTAGGTACGAATCCCATTAGGCATAATGGAATTTTTAATTATAAAAACATTTAAAAGTTCAAGTATTCTTAAAATTAGAGTGAAAAATACAATGAAACTGTATATTCAATCACCCAGACTCAAATCTTAACCAAGATTCTGCTACAAATATTTTTTTCTCAATTATTTCAAAACAAATCGCAGATATCAGGTCATTTTACTCCTACATACTTTCCTATGCCTTTCTAAAACAGACATTTCCTTACAAAATCACATTCCCATTATTATGATAGGTTTTATTTTATTATGAGAGATTATTAAATTCTGTCTACATGCACACAGACACACACACACTACCTAAAATGTGCCTCTCATTCTTGAGTATTCAAAACTAAATGTGCTGATACCAACAATGATTTGGAGTCACCAGAGTTTTTTGTGAGGATGTGTGGTTGTAATAAAGCAGAACCAGAATACTTTATCTGAGCAGGCTTTCTCCCTATTTGGCCCATTTCTGTCTAGATTTGAATCCCATAGTTCCTGATGGCCTGAGGGTAGCAGGATGGGAGGAATAAGTTGGGGAACCCTATAACAACAATTACAGGCTCTTTCCCTTGTTAACCACTCCCTAAACATCTGTTTGTGATGCCAAATATAGGTCTCCTTTACTCCAGTGCCCTTTCTAGAAAATTTTAGTAACATTTAATAATACTAATATAATAATACTAATAATACTATAAATAATTAGTATTCCATGTTTAAATTTGGATTTGAAACTTGAATCCTTGGAATATTTTTAAATTCTACTATTATATCTCAGGAAACATCTTGGTTATGTAAATAGCCGTAGTTATTCATTGTATGACTAGCTCCTTTTTTTTTTTTTTTTAAGATTTTATTTATTTTTTTGACTATGACTAGCTCTTAAACTAAGCAAAAAAACTTCCAAATTTAAAAGACTTCGCAAGTATAAAGCAGTACTTTGGGGGAAGAAAAAAAGCATTGTATTTGCTAAAATGCCATGTGTTCTTTAATGCCTGCTCTGATTATTTGTGCCTGCAAACCTCAGAGCTCCTGCCGGTGACTAGCATTGTTGGGGAGGGTGGTGGAGTCTGTTGCCATGGCAGGAGGAAAAGAAGAAAGAAAAAGGCAAACAATAAAAGCTGACATCTGGTTGATGGAACCTTCTTTTGCCCTCAACAGTTCTGCGACAGAAAGGGATGAATGGCTAGAAGCAATTTCCAGGTCAATAGAAGAGTATGCCAAAAAAAGAATCACATTCTGCCCTAGTAGGAGTCTTGATGAGGTACTGTCTTTTTCTTCTTGGTTTTTGTTTTTTTGTTTAGTTTGTTTGTTTGTTTCTTCAGTGCATTTCAAACAGTTTTTTACCCTAAAGAAACTTTTCCCAGGGGTTTAGAAAGGCAACATGTGTTTCATAGAAAGATGTATGTGTGGGTGTAATTTCAGAGCTAACTATCTTGTTAATGTCTAACAGCAAGTCTGATAACATATAGCGCACTCATATTTTTTCTGGTTGTAAAACTTCATTGTAAAAAATGGGGGAAATACAATATAATTTAAGGAAGAAAGTAACCAGCTGTCATTGGCACTACCACAGGCATCTTTTTAAAGTTAATTTTGCAGCAAAGGATTATTAGGATATAGCTAATCTTAATATCCTAAGAACATGACAACTGTAATAGCCCACCACATCGTTAATGACACCATCAGCATTGTGAGCTGCCATTGAGCACCCCCACCCCAAATAGCTTGATTCTATAGTACTCTGTGTGCATGGAGGTAATGAAAAGTCATTCTTCCACAGGCTGACTCAGAAAATAAAGAGGAAGTTAGTCCTCTTGGATCAAAAGCTCCCATCTGGATCCCTGATACTAGAGCCACAATGTGTATGATCTGCACAAGTGAATTTACTCTGACCTGGAGACGACACCACTGCCGGGCCTGTGGGAAGGTGGGAGAAATTGACATCCATCTCCCTTGTGATTTTTTTTTTTTTAAGATTTTATTTATTTATTTGACAGACGGGGATCACAAAGTAGGCAGAGAGGCAGGCAGAGAGAGAGGAAGGGAAGCACGTTCCTCGCTGAGCAGAGAGCCTGATGTAGGGCTCGATCCCAGGACCCTGGGATCATGACCTGAGCCAAAGGCAGAGGCTTTAACCCACTGAACCACCCAGGCACTCCTCCCTTGTGATTTTTAATAGCTCCAGGCTGTACATAGTGAAGAAGCTTATTTCTTCCTATAAATCATGGTGGGGAGAAGAAAAGATACTGAATCATGGATGATATTTTCTCTAAATACTTAGGCATAGGGCAATCTCTTTAGGGAACTTACCCTTACTTACCAAGATTACTGTAGAATGTCAATAATAGATTGTTTTCATTAAAAAAAATTGACTACGCGACTCCCACATTGACTAATAATTATTTAAACTACCTTTATCTAGATACTAAGTATTTAATAGAGGTACTTTGAGTGTTGAAATGATCACCAGTGACGCATCTAGGTCTTCATGACCTCGTTAGTCAAATGAGCATCATAACAATGATGTCAAAGAATTGCTGTGAAGAGTAAACGGAGTCTATTTAGAAGCATTTAGTAGAGGGCCAGATGCTTGGTAGAGGCACAGCAGACGTGGTCATGGTTACCTAGTGATGGTGATGGGCAATGTCCATGATGATAAGTACAGCTAACAGAGGGCTTCATGCACATCCTGCACGGTTCTAAACACTTTGCACACGTTAATGCTCTTAGTATTTTATTTTATGGAGTTAACACTCAGTCCTAGTGTGTGGCCTCTTCATCTTCCGTTGTAGTGTTGTGTGTGAGTTCACCACAGGCCTGAACTCCACAGAGGTATTAGTGAGAGTGACTGAGAAAAGGTTTTGAAAGCCCTCTAGGTAGACAGCTTTATCTACTGTGGCCTACTCATTGGTTTGATGTGGAGGTTACTCCAAATAAAATAATTCCAATATGTTTTCAGATTGTATGCCAAGCCTGTTCATCAAATAAATATGGTTTAGATTACCTGAAAAATCAACCAGCAAGAGTATGTGAACATTGTTTCCAAGAACTACAGAAACTAGGTAATATATAAGTAAAGATCTAACAAATTCCTTTATTCCCAGATGCTCCCAAACGACCTTCTGAAAGAATCATCTTAGGTGCATGAGCGATGTGATTGGTGATAGTCATCTCAAAATGTTAAGAATTTTGCTTTTGTAATTTAATTAAGCTTTCTTAATGCATAAGATACTAATTGTAGAAATATAATTACAGAATGAAATGCTTTAAAACAGTTACAAGGGAACTTTAACTTTCAAGTAATTTTGAAGTTTATAGTTTCCCAACTGTGTGTTTGTTACAAATCACGTTTATCTATCTCTGTGGACATAGACTGACTGGGTGGCCCTTTGTTAACTTATTTCTAATCACTTGGACTGATTTGGTGGTATATCTAAATGTCCAGCTTTTCACCAAGTACAAAATGATAAGTCATATCTGCCTGCTCATTATTTGCAGGTATCCATCCCCACAGTTAAGATGAATGCAGCTAGCAAGACCACTCAGGTCTATATTTTGGGAAGAGTTTTCGTTCAGTTCCTGAACCTATATATAGGATCTGAATTTCAAAAAGGTAGTCCTTCATTTCCACAAAGAATAGCTTTCCATCACCAAATGAAAATGTCTCAATGAATAAAGCTAGATGGCATGCTATTTCAGAATCCATATATTTATAGAGTAATAATAACCGTTACATACATCGTCCCAGAAGACACATTTATCTAATCCTTCATTGGCCTTTTTGTTCCTCCCTTTGTTCTCTGGGTGTACCATATAGGCTGTGAACATTCAACATTCATTTTTAAAATCCTCTTCCCTAATCACCCACACCCATTTTTAGTCAATAAATCTTGACTGATTTATCCTCAAAGACCTTCTTAATTTTTTCATCTCAGCCCTATTTTTTTATCTGGACTATACTCATAGTTTCCCAACAGGTTTTTTTCTGCTGCAAATCCTTCCTCCTTTCTACTGCCAGATTTTTTTTTCTTCTAAATTCAGTCGGCTCCTGTCATTTCTCAGCCTAAAAGACCTTGGTTTCCCACGGCTTAAACAACAGTCCACATTCCTTAGAACCAGTCTTTTTTCCTTCAGCCTTATTATTCTCCAAATAGATGATCTAATTTCATACCTCTGCTTTTGCTTGTGCTGACCTCTCTTCATGGAGTGTCCATCCTCTTCTTTTTGACTTGGCAAATTCCTGTTATACCTTAATGGCCAACTCAGATTTCTTTCTATCTCCCCAGCTTTCCTGAATCTCTTCACTCAAAATTAGTGGTTTCCTATCTTGTCTTATGGCCCCTTTTCTAATACTTTGTTTATTATAATATTTTTATTCCATCATATATCTAGGTACTAAATGATGCTGTTAGTGTTTTGTTTTTTTTTAAAGTCAGGAGGGAAATTTATATAATATATTTAAAATTGATAGTACATTAACATGTTTCATTATTCTGAAGGCACAAAAGGGTCATCCTTTCTCATGGTTTACAACTGAAAAAGCATAAAATCATAGAGAGTGGAAACTCTTTCTCCCACTCAACTTTCGGCCATCCATCTTTTTTCCCGGGGGCCTCAGTGTCATCAGTTTCTCAAGTGTCCTTCCATAGATATTTTATGCAATAGTGTTTATTGATCTGAATTAAATTGAATTGCAAAATGCTTACCACTGGCTACATAAGTGCACCTGATTTGTTTTAGATCACCAGCATTCTCCTAAGATTGGATCTCCCGGAAATCACAAATCTCCTTCAAGTGCCTTATCATCAGTCTTACATAGTATTCCATCAGGGAGGAAACAGAAAAAGATCCCAGCTGCTCTCAAAGAAGTAAGTGTTTCCATTAAACTTGCAACCTGATATAAGCTGAATTATTCATATGCATATAATACAGTGTTTTTCTTCCATAAAGGAGGATGTCATTTCCCACTTACTATTAAGACATGCATTTTAATAGTAGTGCTAGATGTGGCTGATGGTTCACTCTCTTGCTTGGTCTCCCATATGACCTGAGTCATTCAGAAAATGGCAGTTGAAAGGTTTGGAGAACATTTTATAGCAATGGTAGCAAGTAAAGATAATGTAGACATATGTGAATTTTTTTTTTTAAGATTTTTATTTATTTGTCAAAGAGAGGGAGAGAGAGAGAGCACATGCAGGAGGAGTGGCAGACAGAGGGAGAAGCAGGCTCCCCACTGAGGAAGGAGCCCAGTGTAGCACTCAATCACAGGACCCTGGGATCATGACATGAGTCAAAGGCACTTAACTAACCAACTGAGCCACCCAGGTGTCTCTACACATTTGGATTTTTAAAATTACTTTGAGAAGACCCCATGCCAGAGGGAAGAAGTCTAGAATATTTTAGGTACTTTATTAGCATTTACTAATCTACACCATTTGCTTTTTTTAAGGATTGGTTGGCTATAGACAGCTGCACTGATAGTAAATTGTCTTTCATTTCAACTTAAAAGAAAAATGTAAAAAGTTAGGATAGTCTGCACAGTTAAAACTGCCAGTGGCTTGATCCACAGGCATCACCAGTACCCTAGTCCATCTCCTCGGATTCAAGGGTTCAGTCAGCCAGCTCGGTTAACACACAGCACTGCCTATCTGGGCCACCTCTGTTTTTTTGTTTTGTTTGTTTTAATTTTTTTTTTAAGATTTTATTTATTTATTTGACACAGAGAGAGAGCTCAAGCACAAGTAGGAGGAGCAGCAGGCAGAGGGAGAAGCAGGCTCCCCGCTGAGCAATGAGCCCGATATGGGGCTTAATGCCAGGACCCTGGAATCATAACCTGAGCCAAAGTACCACTTAACCAACTGAGCCACCCAGGCACTCCTGGGCCACCTCCATTTTTTTTTTTTTTTTTTTTTTTTTTAGTTTATTAATTAGTTCTACCAATTTTGAGGCCAGCAGAGTAGAGTTTTAAATTTTGTTTTCTTACTTGGTTACTCTAGAAGAGTTCTACAGTGGAAAATGAAAGCAAACAACTCTAAAAAGATCATGTTCTTTATGTAAAATTGAGTGTATTCCATCATGGCCATTAAAACACTAGGAAATGATCTATATAGCCAGTCTCATGAAATAGTAATAAGAGGACATAAAGTTCTAATTGCCAAGTTTCTTAAACTGGTTGAGCCAATTTAGTACTCTGAACTGTCTCTTCTGTCACTCAGTTCCTGAATCTAAATTGACTTTCAGAACTTTAAGGTGCTTAACCAATGGAAATAGTTTTCAGTTTTCTATAATTGTTCGCCTGTCCATGCTAATGTCACAGTTTATAAATATAATTCTTAAATTTGCTCTTCTTGTCAGTCTAAGCTCCACAGTGCTAGTTACAAAACTATTTCTAGTCTAGACTAGACCCAGCCTGACTCCAGTCACATTTTGTACATCTTTCCACCCAACCACACAAACTGACCTTCCACTGTCAAATCCCTACTTCCTGACTGCAGCAGCCATTTCTTCCTTTGCTCCACTGGCTCTCAAGGTGTTCTCCAAAGCAGCACATCAGCATCACCTGAGAACTTACTAGAAATGGAAATTCCTAGGCCCCACCCAAAGTCTACAGAATCAGGAACTTCAGCAAGCATTCTCTGTAATTTGGATGTATACTAAATTTTGAGAACCACTGCTTTCTCCTTTGCAACCAAACTGAGAAAAATAATTTAACCAGTTAAGTACTATAAAAGTAAAAGTTTTCTACTTGGAAAGCTGTGATTTTTGTCTTTTTATTTGTAATTGAGGTGAAATTCACGTAACTTATAATTAACTACTTAAAGGATACAATTCAGGGGTGCCTTGCCAGGTCAGTGGGTAGAGCATGTGACTTTTGATCTCAGGGTCCTAAGTTTGAGCCCCACACTTAGTGTAGAGTTTTCTTTTAAAAATATATAGGGGCTCCAGAATAGCTCAGAGGATAACCATCTGTCTTCAGCTCAGGTCATGATCCCAGCATCCTGGAATCAAGTCCCATGTCGGGCTCCCTGCTTAGCAGAGAGTCTGCTTCTCCTTCTGCAGCTCCGCTATGCTTGTGTTCCCTCTCTTGCTATCTCTATCATAGATCAGTAAAATCGTAAAAAAAAAAATAAATAAATAAATACACACACACACACACACACACACACACACACACACACACACACACACGAGGGTACCTGGATGGCTCAGTTGGTTAAGCGCCTACCTCTGGTCATGATCTCAGGGTCCTGGGATCAAGCCCAGCATTGGGGCTTCCTCCTCAATGGGGAGTCTGCTTTTCCCTCTCCCTTTGTCCCTCCCCACAACTTGTGCACACACTCTCTCCCTCTCAAATAAATAAATAAAATCTTTAAAAAAGATAAAAGAAATCATATAATACATGACCTTTTGTGTCTGACTATTTTCATTTCTCACAGTATTTTAGAGGTTCACCTAAGTTATAGCACGTGTCAGTACTTTGTTTCTTTTTATTTGTGAATAATACTCTATTATATGCATATACCACAATTTATCCATTCATCTGTTGATGGACATCTGAGTTGTTCCTGCCTTTGGGTTTTTATGAATAATGGTGCTATAAACATGTGAACATATTACCATGTGGACATTTGTCTTAATAATATATCTAGGAGTATGATTGCCTGGTCATATAGTAATTTAGGTTTAACTTTTTAAGAATTTGGGAAGTTGTGTTTTTATTCCAGTAATGTTCAAGACATTTTTAGAAACTCCTCGTTTTTAGAATTCCATTCAGAGCCTCGGTAGGCTCAGTAATGGCAAGCTATGTCTCTTGAGTTAGACTTGATTTATATTTTAAATAATCAAATCACTGGAAGGGAAGCTTTGTGACTCATGTGATTAAGCTGCTTAAGACCAATTGTATTTTTAAAAGGATTGAAGAGGACAGGGGCATCAGGACAGTTAAGAGTCCAACTCTTGATTTCAGCTCAGGTCATGATCTCCAGGTCATGGGATCAAGCCCCATGTCAGGCTTCACACCGAAATTCTCTCTCCTTCTCCCTGTGCCCCTCCCCACCACTTGTGTTCTCAATAAATAAATAAATAAAATCTTTTCTAAAAAAAGATAATAGAGGACTATGCATGACTATCCAGTATTGTGACTGATACTCTTTTTCAGTTAATCAACTAAGTTAAGCATATTTTAAAAGAGGAGCATACAGAATATTTTGATCAATGACAGTAACATGTAACATAATTATATAGTAGTATCTCAATGTAACTACATTTTAAGCAAAATCTCATTTGAATGTAAACATTCTAATTTTAAAAAAACCATTTGTCTTCTACAAGTGTGTCACTTCATACAAATATACTAGGACTTAACAGATATTTCTAATTTAACATGAGATATTAAATTTTTTGCTAGACAATAATATATCATCCTTCTCATAAAGTTTGTAAGAAATTAATATAATTGATACATGATTAAAGATAGATTTTTTTTTTTAAAGATTTTATTTATTTATTTGACAGACAGAAATCACAAGTAGGCAGAGAGGCAGGCAGAGAGAGAGAGGGAAGTAGGCTCCCTGCTGAGCAGAGAGCCTGATGCGGGGCTTGATCCCAGGACCCTGGGATCATGACCTGAGCCAAAGGCAGAGGCTTTAACCCACTGAGCCACCCGGGCGCCCCTAAAGGTAGACTTTTAAAATTCATAGAATCCACCTGAATTTGTTTTCTGTTGCCACATAATGAATTACCACAACCTTAATGGCTTAAAACAACAAACATTTATTATCTCAGGAGTCCAGTCATAGCTTAGCTGGGATCTCTGCAGGACCACAGTCAAGGTGTTGGCCAATGTTGAGTTCTCATCGCAAGGCTAACTAGGGAGGGGTCCACTTCCAAGCTCACTCAGGTTGTTAGCAGAATTCATTTCCTTTCAGTTATGAAACTGAGGATGCTAGCCTCCTGCTGGCTTTTGCCTGGAGTTTCCACTCAGTTCCATGGCATACAAGCCTCCCAAAACAACTATTTCTTAAAAGCCAGCATGGGAGAAAGTCTCTAGAGCCCATCTACTAGCAATATGGAGTTTTGTAGAAGGTAACATAATCATGGGAGTGACATGCCATCATATTCCCCATATTCTCTTGGTTAGGAGTAAGTCACAGGTCCTCCCCACACACAAAGGGTAGTAGTGTGATTATCAGAGGCAAAGATCATGGGGAACCACCTTAAAAATCTGTTCACCATTCTAGGGGCATCTGGCTAAGTCAGTTGGTTGAGCGGCTGACTCTTGATTTCGGCTCAGGTCCTGATCTCAGGGTCCTGGGATAGAGCCCTGCATCAGGCTCCCTGCTCAGCTGGGAATCTGAGGATTCTCTCTCCCTCTCCCTCTGCCCCACCCCTGCATGCATTCACTCACTCGAGCACACTTTCTCTAAAATAAATAAATTTTAAGAAACAAAAAGTCTGTTCACCATTCTACTAATAACACAATTCCTAAACTTGGCTTTTTAATTTTCTTGTTCTGTGCTAAAAAGAGAAATTTCAACTGCCAGATTATAATCATTGAGAGCTTACTACCTTTTTGCCCAGAGATTAAGATATTTTCATCTTTTTATGAAACAAAATAAGCTTCTCTCAGACAAAATTTGGGGATCAGAAACTAATCCTTAAAATCACCATGAATAATTGAATTTTCCATTTATTTCTCTGTTAATAGTTTTGTTTTGGGTGCCTGGGTGGCTCAGTTGGTTAAGCGACTGCCTTCGGCTCAGGTCATGATCCTGGAGTCCCGGGACTGAGGTCCGCATCGGGCTCCCAGCTCTACGGGGAGTCTGCTTCTCCCTCTGACCTTCTCCTCTCTCATGTTGTCTCTCACTCTCTCTCTCAAATGGATAAGTAAAATTTAAAAAAAAAAAAAAATTTTTTTGTTTTGTTTTTTAAGATTTTATTTATTTGACAGAGGGAGACACAGTGAGAGAGAGAACATAAGCAGGTGAGTGAGAGAGGGAGAAACAGGCTTCCCACTGAGCAGGGAGCCCAATGCAGGGCTCATCCCAAGACCCCGGGATCATGACCCAAGCCGAAGGCAAATGCTTAACGACTGAGCCACCCAGTCACCCCGTTAATAGTTTATATAGGTCCAAAAAATTATTTCAGGAAGCATTAAAGGTTTAAATAATTTAACCTAATATTGCAAAATACCAAGAATAGTAAACAACATATACAGTTCCAAAAATGCAACTTTCAAAAAGCATTTCTGATCTTTAGAGTTATTTTTCTTTCTCTGGCAACTCAGAAAATAAGTGACACCACAAAGAAATACATATATGCAAGCTCAGTTAAACCAGGCAGAATGCTGGAATGGTTTTATGTTTTTTAAGAGAAGTGGTGGGGAAGGGCAGAGAATCCTAAGCAGGCTACACACCCAGTGCAGAGCCCTTGATCATAACCTGAGCCAAAATCAAGAGTTGGGTGCTTAACAGACTGAGCCACCTGGGTGCCCCGATATGCTGGAACTGCTTCTGAACAGAAGGGTATTTTATGCCCGTGGTAATGGCGTATTCAATTTGTATAGTAGCAGATTTCGTTTTGTTTTTGTTTTTGTTTTATAAGGTTTTTTTTACCTTATTTGAGAGAGAGGGAGAGAGAGCACAAGCAGAGGGAGAGGGAGAAGCAGGCTCTCTGCTGAGGAGGGAACCCAATATGGGGCTCCATCCCAGGACCCTGAGCCGAAGGCAGATGCTTAACTGACTGAGCCACCCAGGTACCCCATAGTAGCAGACTTTGAAAATAAACCATTTTATTCTCTAACATTATATTATTACGGTTATTACTCTCAGCACCAGTGATCAAAAGCAATTTGTTACTTTACCTTTTGTTTCTTTGAAAACCATTAAACTATACATGGGGTTTGCTTATGTAGGTATCAGCAAACACGGAAGATTCTTCCATGAGTGGCTACTTGTACAGATCAAAGGGCAATAAAAAACCTTGGAAACACTTGTGGTTTGTCATAAAAAATAAAGTGCTGTATACATATGCTGCAAGTGAGGTAAGATCTGAAATCTAAAGATGAATAATTGTGGGGTCTGGTTTTATAATGCCAATTGGAAATAATTACAGTATCTGTTTAATCTATTTGTTTTGTGTATTTTTTTGTTTTGCTTTGCTTTTGGAGGGGGAGATGTTGTTGCTGTGATTTTTAATGTCAGCAGTGTCCTAGAGCTCTTACTCAAAACGTTAGGAATTTTCCGTAATATTAAAATACAACTTTTTTTGGTGTCATGTGGCTACTAAGACTTCACTAAAGGCAAAGGTTCTTATCCTTTTTACCAAGCTGTCTTGGTTGACACTCCCTTGACTATTCCCAGATTACACTCCTCAGGCCTCAAGCTTAGATAAGATACTTTGTTTGGGTTATAAACAATGGCTGGCTATTTGCTCTAACATTACCCTTTTCAACTGTCTGATCACCCTGTGTTCCAGTAAAATCCTATAAAAACCACTGCTCTAGGAGCCAAGCCCCTCCTTAGTGGGACAGGATAAATCACTTCCCCAGCTTGATTTCTGCATCCATAAAATGAAAGTAATTACCTACCTCACATGGTTATAGGGAAGTATGTGATACTCAAGGGATGTGAACACATTGAAAACTGTTTAGCACAGTGTCTGACTCATGAGATAGGTGGGGAGTGGTCAGCTTAATATTGCTGAATAAATGAAAATGAAAAATAAAGAATTATTTTATATATGTGTATATGAAATTAAATTATAACTATACAGTTCAAGAGTTTGCAAATCTGAATTTTGTTATCAATTTAATATCCTATCTCCCTTTGTGCCTTTTTTAAATTAGGACGTGGCAGCTTTAGAGAGTCAGCCTTTACTAGGATTCACTGTCGCTCAAGTCAAAGATGAGAATTCAGAGTCCAGAGTGTTCCAGTTACTACACAAAAACATGTTATTTTATGTGTTCAAAGCAGACGATGCTCACTCAGCTCAGAAGTAAGTAATTTAGACATATTTTTCTTTTATACATGAGTTTCAAGTTGTCACATGATTGATTTTAAAATAACCTACTTTCATGTGTGGGGACAATTAAGAATTTAAATCAGAGATCCAAATTAGTTAGATTTAACATGTTTTTCAAAGTCTTTAGAACTGTTGTAAGGCCACGCAAGAGGATCTGGAATATTTTCAGGAGGCAGAGGGGAAAAGAAAATAGGTAGTTCTGTCCAAAATATTTTGTCTATACGTGACCTCTGAGGAAGCAGCATGAAACTGTTCTGCTGAAAGGAAAGGAAGCTGAGGCATTTGGCCTCTCCTTCAATGAGGGTAAGGATCATCTCTTAAAACATTCCAGGACTTTGGCAATCCAGCAATTCAATTCTGCCATGGAACAGTGGGAGTTTAAACAGCTGCTTGCTAACTTACTTCTTTGGGAAAAGGGTCAAACACATTAAGAGGCTCCCATGCTGTTCCCAATAACTGAGTAGAAGGAAATGGATATCATTTTAGATAGTAAAGGCTTTTTTAAACAGTCTCTTCAAAATTCCGACAAGAATATTTATTTTGATGTCATGAGGTTGTTTAACATAGAGAAGCATATCTCTGTGAAATTCAGGTCCTTTGTAAACGAAACAGTGCAATTTACCTTTTCGCCAGATCTTTCATGTGATTTTTATTGTGGCCTCACAAGTTACACGTTTTTGTTTCCACTGAGCTTAGTGCTCATGTGTTCTCAAAGGCTTAAAACGTGCATGGAGATAAAAAAGAACGCCTTAAGTAAATAAGGCTTGTCTTTTCTTAAGGCAATTAGAGTTAATGTACCAGAATTATATGTTCCTGAATAATAATCAGGTACAATGTGACACGTACGCTGTAAGATTTTTTTTTTCAGTCTATGTTAGGATATCTAGTGTATTTTTATTACTCCAAATAATTCTTTTTCAGTTGAACTGAAAACTATTTAAAATTATGTCACTTAATTATTTTTTCTGTAAAAATTACCTTGGATAAAAGAGTAATTATTCTAATATTCTGTTAGGAATTACATTTCTCATTATTTTTATCTGTATTCATCATCAAACTGATAAAAATTATTTCTTTTGAATATATATCTTTTTTTTTTTTGAATATATATCTTTTGTTCCTATCATTAAGTTGACAAGGTAGAAAAATCTTCAATATGATTGAATGTAGTTGAGTGAAGAAAATCTGCTTGCTTGTAATTTAGAATTAATACAGGCTAAATTATAAGTTTCTCTTTGAAGTCACTAATATCCTAGAGGTGTTTTTACAAATTATAGAATGTTAAAATATATTAATTTTAATGGAAAGTTTTAGCTTTTTAAAAGACATGATTTATAATTTATGCCATTTGCATTTAAATTTTTGAAAATTCTATCCTTGAAATTTGAGCTAAATCTGTTACAGGCTATGTTTACTAATTAAGTTGAGTGGTTTCAAATGTTCATAGTAAGTTCAGAAGCAAGTACAGTGCTAGGGAGGTACAAGAAGTGTCTTCTGAATAATTTCAGCTGTGGGTATTGTCAGATAAAACTTTGAGACTAATGCATTTTGGAAAAACTTCTATGAAACTCTGAAACAATTTTTTTTGATACACTTCATATTGCATGCAAAATTTTGATCAACTGAAGTAGAACAGATGTTAGATTCTCTTTCACTGAAAATATTAGAACAGGTCTGGACTGTGGATGCCCAGAGAGTTAAGAGAGGAGACAGAGATAAAGCTGGTGTTCCCAAAAGCAGAAAGGGGTTTGAAATAAAAGCCTTGTCAAATGTATTCATTTCCCAAACCAAACATAGGAATCATCAGGACTTCACAGAGCTTTTACATGAAATGGCCCCTTCCTCACACCTCATGTACATAAAAGATGCAATTTTCAGGCCAAATTTTTGGCCAAATTACTAAGTAAAGGATGTTTCCATATATGTAGAATTCTAATTTGGTATAGGAAGCTTCTGAAATATACTGCTAGGGGAGTGGATCCACAGGCACAGCTGTGATCTATATTGTCTTAACATTTATTGGAGGATTGCATTTTGCAAATCTAACAAATTTCTCTTACCAATAGGTGGATAGAAGCATTTCAGGAAGGCACAATATTGTAGCGATACTGGTTTCATCCCTTCTGTGATTCCAAATGGGTGGAATTTCATCAGAATGGAGTAAATGCAGTACAAAAATGTTATATAAATGAACACTGCCAAGATAAATCCAGCCAAAATCTTCATCAAATATTGTGAATTATTTTGTTAGGTGTAAGGTAATTTTTTTTAATGTTTGTTTTCTCATGTATGTTATTTATTAAAATTTTGATGTTTACTTCATGGTCAGAATTATTTCTGAGACTCACACTGAATTCTGAAGTACCTTTTCTTTAGAAACCAGAAAACTTATCTTAATATTGTATACTGTATTAACTGTTTGTGACACAGATTTCTCAGTGTGTTTTGTAGTGTTACATTGTATAACATTCTTACTTGAGGTTAAGTCTTTGTAAATAAAAAACACACATCAAGGAGCAAATTTCTATGCAGTGTTTGGCTTAGGAATTACTATAAAACTGCTGATAAAAAAATGTATGTTTTTCAATCAATAAACTTAGATGAATTTTTGTATCTTTTAATGGAAAAACACACGGCCAATTCCTACCTCAGTAACTGTGAAATGAAATTCCAATAAATTATCTAGAGTATTTCTGTTGTACCTCTTTTGGCATGAGATAATGTTACATCATCAAGGAATTAGAGCAAAGGGATAGAGTATGAAAATTGTCATTGAACTAAGCTATGAGTAGGAAAGAGGATGTTTTCATTTGCAGAGGAACACAAGTCTTTATATTAAGTTTAATCCTTTTTTTAAAGCTACCAGTTCAACACAAACATAAATGTATTATTATTAAAAAAAATACTGCAAGTATTATATTACACAATATCCTTTGCTATTGTAAGTGTTCTGAGCCCAAGTCAATGGTGGTGTTTGCATCTAAAAAGAATTTCCATTCCCTATAATATTGTGCTTTAAAAAATGAACTGGAATTACCGTACCAAAAAAGCACATATTCTAAGCCAGTGTTAACTGAAATTGTATTCATTTTCTGAAGGTTATTTAATACTACTTTGTGTTATGTCCTCCCTGGTAATTAAAACAAATCCTTTATTTCTTCAACCAGTTGCCGAATGCACCTCATTAGGAAAGATTTATATTCATAATTCTGGTGCACTTACTATTTAACATGTGAACTTTTTTGTACATAAAACTCCTGATGAGTAGAGGAAAAATGAAATTCACACTATGATTACAGTCATTCTTGATGTTTATAATATACATTTATTGACTGGGCTTAAGCTAAAATAAATTATCTTAAAAGGCAAGGTCATCCATAGACTATTTCACAAAAGGGCACAAGAGTTTTCCTTTCTGCTTTTATATAACGTATTTCCTAATTCAGTGTGATACCATTGCCAAGAGAATTACTGAGTGCCTTTCTGAAGTTGTTTGTTGCAGCACCAGAAGAATCTCAGCTAAATCTAGAGTTGGCTGCTGTCATTTTTTTCTGGCTATTTCTTGCTGTGGGATCATTTTAAACCCTGTTGCACCCTCACCCACAATCCTTACATCCCATCTCCCCAGTTTTTCTGTCACAGTAGGAAAACTAATACTTCTTTGGAGCTCACTAATTTTAATCAACAGAGCATAAATAGGGCTTCCATGTTAAAATCCTTGCAGCTTTTAGTGTATCCCTTTTTTGGAGACCAAGTTTATACCTTATAATGTGTTTCCTTCTTCTTTGGGTCTAGCATTTTGCAAAGGACAAGTTATTTGGAGTTCTGGCTCCCCTCCTCATGAGCTCTCAGCCTTCTGACTAGAAGGTTTGGCTTAAACCTCAGAATCTAAAAAAATATCAGCCAGGCTATTTTGTCTTCCAACAGCTGGCTAAATCAAGAACCATTCATAAATTTAAATAGAAAAAAACACTGCACAAACTTCTGTTAATTCTAATTACACGTAAAATACATGTATGATTGTATTGGCTATTCAAAACCCCATTGGGGGGTTTTGAAAATATAAAATACGTATAGCCTTTTGAGAAAGCTATCATATTACCATTCCCCCCCAAAAAATGTTTTAAATGTGGAATGGTATTACGTTTCCTTTCCCCCCCATCAGTCCTTCATAACTTATTAAAGCTGATCAATTATTTATTTAACTTGGCTCATTTAATGTCAACTGAGAAACCTAACTATGTTTTATTATAAAGCTACTTTAAGAAATGTATCTCTTGATAGCTAACATTTTAGAGAAAAAATATGATATTGGGTGCATTTGGTTGGAGGGGGCAGAGGGAGAGGGAGAATCTTAAGCAGGCTCCCTGCTGAGCTCAGACCACCCCTCCAAGAGGGGGCTTGATCTCAGGACCCTGAGATCATGACCTGAGCCAAAATCAAGAGTTGGAAGCTTAACCAACTAAGCCACCCAGGCACATTCTATGAGAAAGTATACAGAGTACCAGGATCTCAAGAATACTATATTTGTTACACTGATGAATGTGTTCCATCACACCCTTTTCAGGTTTCTCCTTTTATTCATAAGGAGGAGAAAGAAGAGCAGTTGTAAAGCTAAGCGAAAAGGGACTAAAAGTAACCTTGATAAAAAATGCCAGCTTAGGGGCGCCTGGGTGGCTCAATGGGTTAAAGCCTCTGCCTTCAGCTTAGGTCATGATCTCAGGGTCCTAGGATTGAGCCCCACATTGGGCTTTCTGCTCAGCTGGGAGCCTGCTTCGCCCTCTCTCTCTGCCTGCCTCCATGCCTACTTGTGATCTCTCTCTGTCAAATAAATGAAATCTTAAAAAAAAAAAAAAAAAGATGCCAGCTTAAACTGGGGGAGGGCTGGCATTCTTAGTATGCCCTCCCACCCCCAATCTAGGTTCCTCCTTAGCTGTGACAGCTGTAAATGTAGAGTATCCATCAGAGTCCTAGAAAAATAAGGTTATCTTAGGCATCATCCGACATTTCTGAACCTCTCTCCAACTTCTTTTCCCATTCTCTAGTACACCCAGTATGATCCTATTGTCCTTCGCCCAAGATCCTTAGTTCTCTTTTCAACCAAAAGCTTGATTCTTTGAGTATGTAGTAGTGTTCCTTAAAATAAGATCATCAGAGCAACTTTAATATAAAGCAGTAATGAAACGAGTAAGTTTAGAAGAAAACTCTAAAGCGTGGTTTTGTTAAGCAGGGAAAGCCTGCTATTTTGTAATTTAGGTAAAATGTAAATGTTATCACAGCATATGTTGATCTGTCTTGAAGTATGATCAATTTGTACTCCCATTTTTGAAATTTGAGATCCACTGTAGTCAAATGTAGTCACTAGGATTTCCAGAGAGGTAAATCCTGTTTCTCTTGTTATACCATACATGCCTTGAAGGTAAATACTGTATCTGTTTCTCACAGAATACCTATCCTGTGTCTTTTAAGAGAAAATAGTTGTTGAAATGCATAGAAGGTGAGGACAGGATTCTTGTCATCTGCAACTCAAACACAGCACCATCACCACCACCCCCATGCCCTCATTATAACTCAGATCTTAGACCTGCTCTTTCCACCATCCTGCAAGGCCATATTTGCAACTACCTGTTGGACATCTACATGAGTCCTTAAGCATTTTGAACTTTATATGACTTCACTTTCTGTTCCTTCAGATCTGTTTATTTTCCTCTGTAATGGAAAAACACCATTCTAGGCTCCAGAATCTGCCTCTGAGTCTCAACAAAACCCTCTGCTATTGCTCTTGTCCCCAGTCCATCTTCGTTCCTGTTATTGCACAGAGCCTGGCTCAAGTCCTTGTTACCTCTTCTCAATGATTAGAATAACTTTTCTTCTAATTCCATTGCCACCATTGCGTGGTCTCATTTTAAACACTGCCAGAGCTATCTTATAAAGCATAGCTCTAACCTAGTTTCATCCCTGCTCTTTGCAGCCTCCATTGGCTTCCCAGTGGCTTGGCATGGAACACTTTTCCTCAGGTGTCACACGCTCCAGCTAAACCGACCCCAACCTTTCTTCTTTGCTCTCATCCTCTTCCCAACCCATTTCTGCCTATGTATTCAAGACTTTTCTTTCTTTGATAGTTGGCCCTAGTCCTTTTCTCTCCTATTCCTCCTCCCTTACTCCTCCAGACCGGAATTAGTCTTTCCTTTCTCTATGTCTCCATAGCCTCTAGCAAGGAAACACACTTTCTTATGGTGCCTATCACATTCAGTCCTTGAGAATCTGAGACCACTCCTCAGTATTTGGCAGACTACCTTGCATGCTATGGACACTGAGTATTTGGTGAATTAAATTACTCCAAATGGATCCCTTCTGATTTTTTTTTTAAGTGCCATCCATACACAAATATTCTGGAGCCTGTGCCACATTTAATATTCTCTAAAGGAAAATCTTTTGTTTTTAAATTAACATATAATGTATTGTTTGTTTCAGGGGTACAGGTCTGTGATTCATCAGTCTTAAAACAATTCACAACACTCCCCATAGCACATAACCCTCCCCAATGTCTATCCCCCAGTCACCCCATCCCCTCCAACCCCCCTCCCCTCCAGCAACCCTAAGTTTGTTTCCTATAGTTAAGAGTCTTTCATGGTTTTGCTCCCTCTCTGGTTTCATCTTGTTTCATTTTTCTCTCCCTTCCTCTATGATCCTCTGTCTTGTTTCTCAAATTCCTCATATCCATGAGATCATATGATAATAGTCTTTCTCTGATTGATTTATTTCACTTAGCATAATAGCCTCTAGTTCCATCCATGTCATTGCAAATGGCAAGATTTCAGGGGCTTTGATGGCTGAGTAGTATTCCATTGTGTGTATATATATACACCACATCTTTATCCATTCATCTGTTTATAGATAATCTAGGCTCTTTCCATAGTCTGGCTATTGTGGACATTGCTGCTATAAACATTGGGGTGCATGTGCCTAAAGGAAAATCTTATCTATGACTTTACCTTTTAAGAAAAGAGATGATTTCTAGTAGGACTTAATTTTATTTTAAGATAAAGGTAGAGGAAATTTTCAAAAAGCCTCAGTATCAAATTCCCTTAGTGGGGGGGATGAAAGGAGGCAACTCTCTTTACTATGAGTTGGTCATAGCATGTTAAGAACCAATCTTGAAATACTATATTGTTTTTTTAAATGACATGAATTTCTAGAAACATTTTTTTACTTAAAGTGGTAACAGTTTGTATCTTATTGTCCATAGAGATATAGATCCTTTATAAATACTAGTATTGTAAATAATGTCAATATATATTATATTTATACAAAATA